GAACCTATATTTATATATGTGGTGTTTTGATGTGTCTTTAGACTGAACCTATAGTTATATATGTGGTGTTTTGATGTGTCTTTAGAGTGAACCTGTATTTATATATGTGTGGTGTTTTGATGTGTTTTTAGAGTGAACCTCTATTTATATATGTGGTGTTTTGATGTGTCTTTAGACTGAAGCTATATTTATATATGTGGTGTTTTGATGTGTCTTTAGACTGAACCTATATTTATATAGATACATTGGGCTTCATGTGTATTTTTTCTACTGGATAATTCCCAAAACAATTAGTAGCTTCAATGCTACAAATTCTGTATGGTCATAAGTTTACTGTGGTGAGTGAAAACAACTCAAAACACTTATACATAATTGTATATTAAATAACAATAACTCTTTATTTGTTCTGTACGGTGTATTTGAGAGCATAAAATGTTGTTAAGAGCATGTTTGTTTGTAATTAAGGCACAAAGCTATACAATGGGCTATCTGTTCTCTGCTCACCACAGGTATCGAAACCCACTTTCTAGCGTTGTTAGTCCGCAGACATAACTCTATGCCACTTGGGGGCGTGTGTTTAATTAAGAAGTTAAGTATAGAGACAAAAGTGAACATAATTACACAAATCTTTCATCTTAAACCAATGATAAAGGAGGATCCTTAGATAATCTGATTTTTTTAAATCTCAGTAGAAAAATCTTTTAGCTTCATTAATACGAAGAATAAACCTAATTTATTACAAGAGAATATATTTCGTTGTAATGACTTAAATAATATGTTGGATTGTCTAGGATATTGTTGTTTGTAGATGGCGTTATACAAAATGAAAGAAAAAGAAGCCTCGTGGTTGGATCAGACGCAGGATGAACGTGACGATAAAACAAAACTTGAGCCAATGATTAATTTTAATTATAGACATTTAGAAGTATAAATTGAATGAAAGTATGAAGTGATAAGTGCATATTCTATAAAAGTTCTACTCCTCGAAATTCTGCTAAACCACAAAAAATGGTTTCGAATTTCAATATAATTATAACATTCTCTTTATAAACGTAATATGAAATAAAAATTACGAGATTTTTTTGTACCTTTTCCGTACGTTATAAGATTAAGATATTTAAACAAAATATTTGTCAACTTACCCAGTAGCTTTGAGTGAAATTCAACAAAACATCAAACACAGCTCAGCTATATTTGGATTTAACGTAACAACTAAATGTGTCAGTCCTAAATGGTTTCGATGTTAAGCATATTACAAGTAAATGTATTTAAAACTAAACAGTTGCATTTTGGTTAATTGCAACCGATTTTCAAAGAAATAGACGTTATTTTTATTGTGTAAAGAAATTAATATATATCTATATATATTACTTGATGACGAAAATACACATAACCCATGCATGAGGTGATTTGTGTTTTTACTCAACAGTTAATTACACAACTAAAATTTTAAATTAAAATTTATAAAAAAAAAACAACATGAAAAACAAAGGGTTCAATCCTCAAGTGAGTAAAATTTAAGTTGTTGAATGTGAATTGGAAATCGTATTCTATCAATGTGAAATTTGCTGAAT